GTGCAACCACTCTCTGCCCTGGCACACCTAGCAAGGTGTGCCAGGGCACACCTAATTATTTGCGTCTCCATCTACTCTGAGTATTTGCAGCAGTCTTTATTCTTCCATTACTGTCTCTCTCTCTCTCTCTCTCTCTCTCTCTCTCTCTCTAGCTCCTCCCTTTGTTTCTCTCTCCTACTTTGCTTCCTTTGTTTCTCTCTCCTACTTTGCTTTTTTCAGTCGCGCTTTGAAAAAAGTGGAAAAAGTTGGACGAGATAGACTTGTGTTGCCATGTAAATGCATACGTGTAGCTCTGAAGCAAGAACCCTAAACGTGGTTAGAAGCTTTTATTCGGAGTAGTTGAGCTGCTTTTCGTGCTGGGCCTCATTGTGCTCCACCAGATCTGAACTGATTCTAGGTATCAACGCTTGAAACTGCTTGCATTTTGGGTTTTTTTGTGAATTGAATTGATGGGTTTTTTTTTTCTTTTTTTTTTGTTGTTTAATTGGAGAGTGATAGTTGCTTGTGGACTCGTTAACTTCGGCTGGGCAGATTTTGGCTTTGTTATTTGGGCTGGATGTCATGTAATGTGTGGTTCGAGTCTCAATTATGTGACGTTTTTTGTTCTAGCAAACATTTATTGAGTGATTTTTCATTTTGATAAGTGCATTTTGTTTCTTAATTATTGTTTTTCCGTTTATGTGTTGTATATAGATTAGGGAAGGAGTTCATGAATTTATATGGAGTTGTGCGGTTGGAAATCGTAAACGTTATAATTATTCAGTTGAATTGAAGTTCTGGCCATGATCAACTTCAAATGCACCTAGTTAGCTTTACATGACGAATGTGTTTCTTTTATATGGAAGAATTTAGGAAAACTTATCTTCCTCATTAAGTCTACTGTTTTCATTAAATAGTTTTCAACATTCTATTTAAGGAAGCTTGAGAAGTGTTAGCTGTGAATATGATATTCTGATAATTGGTGTGATTTTGGTGAACGTGTTTTGCTTTTATGATTTTATTGCGTTCCTAACTAAAATGGAGCATCAAACTGAAATATGTGGTATTACTTTTTTTTTTTGATATGTTCTTTTTACTTCTATTCCCCCATGCTTCCGGAAGTCTATTGCAGCTTAGGTAAATTTCCCAAATGGAGGCTTTGGGGACTGAGGATTTGTTAGAAATGCACAAGAGTACTGAGCCGGAGGAGTTGGACACCAAATCAGAGCTCCAGGAAGAATCATGTTCTGAGAGTGTGATGAAAGCCCCCAAGGTGCTAAAGTCAAATGCGGTAACAACACCCAAGAGCTCTGGTACGGCTGGGGCTTCTATACGAAAAATGGGTGCAAACTCTAACTCAAACGAGAAAAGGTCAACATTAACGAAACCAACTATGAGCAGTGCATTGCGCACTTCAGGATCAGTTCCAGTGACTAGAAGGAGCAGCACTGGCGGTTTGCCTGAAAAACAGTCAATGTCGATCACAAAACGGGATATTGGTCCAGCAGGTAAACGGATAGGCTTCCTAGCGTCCGAACCTCTTAGAAAATCCCTTCCAGAATTTCGGACAGGCATGATGTCATCCACTGGCTCTAAGCCTCCTAGTAAACTGAACATTTCGGAAACTCGAAAGTCAGTTCCTATGTCACCTGTTTCCAGAACTCCAAAGACACCAGCTAGTTCTGATTCAAACAAGGAAGAATTGAGTAGAAGGACTTTGGTGAGATCATCTCAATCGTCAGTTTCTTCAATCAAGGGGCTCTCATCTCCATCACTAGATAGCACTGGAAGTAGTAGTGCCATTAACAAGTCGGTTTCAAAGACTTCTCATCTCTCAACCCGATCACCTTTGGTATCCAGTGGTTCTAAGTCTGGTAGCGTATCGAAATCTCTGGACAGAAGTTCTAGTTTGGCTGGTCGTAGGAGAGTGGGTACTCCAGAAAGCCGGGACTCGCGCATGATTATGCTTCCTCAAGTGGAGATGAGAGTTGGTGATGATGTGGTAAGAATCATATGGATAAAACCCAATTGTGAAATGTTAAGATACTAATTTATGCAACTGCTGATGGAAATATTCAAAATGTTAAGATACTAATTGATGCAAATTGCTGATGGAAATATTCAAACTTTATTGATCTTTTGAGCATTACATTTTATCTTCATTAGTTACATTGAATCTGTACATGGCATGAACAATAGATTTCATAGTTATTCCTATTGTTGTTCCTCGGTCTAATGATAGTTTGAATGCTGCCATTCATCCCTTGTTTGATTGTTGATTTTAAGTTGGTGAAAGGTTGTATTATTCATTTGTTTCCTTGATGAAGAGATTGGATCTTCGAGGCCACAAGATACGCAGTCTCAGTGCCGGTGGGTTGAATCTGTCACCTAATCTGGAGGTACTCTGTACACTGCAACTTCTATTACCTGAGATATCATTATTTTTTATCTTCTTCTGCATGATGCATAGTTTTTCTATTGCTGAGACTACCTCAATACCGAACTTATTCTAAGTGATCTATGCTTGGCATCCCTTTTTTTTTTTTTTTTTTTGTTGTGCAGTTTGTTTATCTCAGAGACAATCTCTTGTCCACATTGGATGGTATTGAAGTCTTGAATCGTGTGAAGGTGTCTATAGATTGGCCATTTCCGTGCATCTTTGTTATTCGTTTAGTCCTTGATAGAATAAGTTGACTTGTCTAAGCTTTCAGGTTCTTGATTTGAGCTTTAATGATTTCAAAGGACCTGGTTTTGAGCCACTTGATAATTGCAAAGCACTGCAGGTAATCACGATTTTTCGATGATACTGTTTAGAGTGTGTGATACTTGTTTTTTACAAACACAGTATTCCCTTTTTTGTAGCAACTTTATCTCGCTGGAAATCAGATCACATCCTTAAAGAGTCTCCCCGAGCTTCCTAACTTGGAGGTGAATATACTGAAATTGTTTGGATCTGTGCTTTCCCATGATCTTTATTTGGATCGTGTCCATGTAGGATGCTAAAACAATTTCATTTTTATTTGCATTTTTAGTTTCTGTCTGTCGCTCAGAATAAGTTAAAATCTCTTTCAATGGCAAGCCAGCCCCGTTTACAGGTTCGCTTTTGTTGCTTTAAAAAATTTATCCCTGTATTCAGTTTGCGAAAGTTAATTTTTGTCTGTGTTTCAATAGGTACTCGCAGCCAGCAAAAACAAAATTTCAACCTTGAAAGGCTTCCCGTACTTACCTGCACTTGAGGTCAGTTGTGCAAATGTCTTCTCAATTTTGATTTCATAATTACAACTTTAGCATTATTGAAGGATCATGGTGATCCATGAATCCTTAACATTGTGAAAATTCTGACAGACCATTACCCATATATAATGATGGGTTGGAACTAACAATAGTTTGAAGCAAATATGATGGCAGTTTTTCTCGATGTAGAAAATGCGCTATGAATAATTTTTCAGACATATAAATGCATTGTTGAATCATATTTCTCATTACATATTGAACTCTATCATGATTCTAAATGCATTGGGATGTATATTTGTTACTTTGATGTTCTGCAGCATTTGCGTATCGAGGAGAATCCCATTCTTAAGATGTCTCATGTGGAAGCAGCTGCAATTTTGCTTATTGGTTCAACCTTAAAGAAATTTAATGATAGAGGTAACACTTTGTGTGCCTTTCAACTGCTCTTGTTTCTGTTGAAAATTTTTCATTGTTGATTGCCTACCTGCTCATCTGAAATATACATTTTTCAGATCTATCCAAAGGCTTATATTTATCATTTTCTCCTTACCATTAACCTTTTTTTTGTCCTTGGAGATCTATCCCGTGAGGAGATATCAATTTCCAAACGTTATCCTTCACATACTTCCTTGTGCATTCGAGGCGGTTGGGATTTATGCCGTCCAGAACAAGCTGTTGGTAAGCTTTAAAAATATAACTCTTGTTTAATTTTGTGAATTCTGAAATTAAAAGACTGGGTAATTATAATATGGGAAACTGCAAATTGGTTTCTCCAAGATTATTAGGGGGTGCTTGGATACAAAGAATTTTTGGTTTTGTTTGGTTTGGTTGAAAAAGATGATATGGTTAGTTGTTAATAAGTATATTAAAATAATATTTAAAATAAAATAATTAAAGTTGATTTGATGTAAAAGTAGGAGAGAGATGATGTGAAGTGATGATTATTATGGTTAGTTAAATTATCCGAGTGGATGAATAGTGAATTAAAGTTGCTGTGATGTGTAAGAATGATTGAGTGATATTATTTAATTATATTGATTATGTTGAAGATAGTGGGGTTGAGTTAAAGTTGATTTAAAAAAGGTGATTGAGTTAAAAATGTTTGGATATCTTGTATCCCAGCAACACCTTACAAGATTTGAGAATTACACAACTGTATTTCTATCTATTATGTGATTATATTAAATTAGACATGCAGCAGCAATGATAATTATTCATCTTTTTGATCCTCTCTTATGTATCAATGTGCTTGTTCTTGTTAACAGAATCCACATTCAAGTTTTTGCTAGAACAATGGAAAGAACAGCTTCCTTGCGGATACTTTTTGAAGAAAGCTTCTGTAGATCGACCGTTTGAAGAAGATGCTTGCCGTTGCCACTTTGAGTTTGTTAGAGATGCAGCCGAAGGTAGTGATTCAGCACTAGACTTGAAATACCAGTGGTTTATTGGAGCACGAACTGCTTCAAATTTTACAGAGATTCCCGGCGCATGTGGAGAGGTATGTCAATAATTTTCAAGCAATTGGATTTTTTGATTTGCCATTTTAAGAATTTAATACATGATTTTTAACATGTCAGATCTACTTTCCCAAACGTGGTGACATTGGGAAAATCTTGAAAGTGGAGTGTACTCCTATTCTGGGAGATGCTGAACATCCCACTATTTTTGCAATATCTCCACCTGTTTCTCCAGGTATAGTTTGTTTAGAAAATGTCTGATAAGTAAATTTACCTTTATTACCCTAAGGAATTCATCATTTTATAGGGAATTGTACCATGTATATTAACTTTTCTGGTTGTCTTTCTGAAGGTACTGGAATCCCTAAGGTCATAAAGATTAATGTAATTGGTGAGTTGGTGGAAGGAAATACAATCAAAGGGTATGCTGGTGTTGCATGGTGTGGGGGAACTCCGGGTAAAGGTGTTTCTAGGTGAGATAATCCGGTGTTTACTAAATAAAGCATTTCTTATTCTGAGCTGTTCTGTTCTGTCAGGGGAAAGAAAGGCTTAGCCACTGTTCGATAATACTTCTAGTTTCTTTCTGTAGCTGGCTTCGGAAAAAATGGAATAGCAGCTCTGTGGTAATTGCGGGTGCCGAAGAAGAAGAGTATCAGCTTACATTAGATGACATAGATTCATGTTTGGTTTATATGTACACCCCTGTAACTGAAGAAGGTTCCAAAGGGGAGCCTCAATGTGCCATCACTGATTATGTGAAAGCAGGTATGGGTAATATATAAATGTGGCTCATCTCTATTTATTGGTGCTTGTTTAGGGTTTTTTTGCTAGTACTTTAGGCGAAAGTAACATCTACAATATTAGGCTTGTTGAAACATTAGGTGCACCTTTCTTGATCAGATGGGGGAAAGAAGAAATGAAACTGTCCATACCATATCTTTTCATGAAATTTTAGCTTTCTTGCTTCCCAGCTATGACAGTAATACATACCAAAAGTTGACTACCCAAAATTTAATATGCTTTTGGCTATATCTTTTTGATCTTTTGGGTTCATTGCAATTTATTTGCACTAAGAGCCACTGTAACATGAATATATAGTTATATACAATTAGGGTCATGACAACCATGAATATGGCTCCATAAAGGTTTTATGTTATGAACTGAAACTTTTAGTTGTTCTGCAAGAAATACATTGCACCTGTGGCTTTGCAGTCATTTATTATTTTGACTGATTTATTCTTATGTTGGTAGCCCCTCCCTCTGTGAGTAATGTACAAATCATTGGAGATGCCGTTGAAGGGTGTACAGTCAAAGGAATAGGGGAGTATTTTGGAGGAAAAGAAGGTCCCAGCACTTTTGAATGGTTGTATGAGGATAAGGATACTGGGTGGGTGTTAATTACTTTTTTTACTCGTTTTCATGAAGTGAATCAATTGGTTTAAGTTGCACCATTCGTCTTCCTTCCAATTATGATTTTGCTAAATCAGATTGTGTGATGATATATTGTACCAATGGTCTTCACTCATATTTATGCTTCTAGCTTGTTAATGCCAGAGTGGGTCTAGTCTAAGGGTGAGTAAAATTAGTTTTGAGCTTACTTTCCATTTTCACCATGAATATTTGTACCTATTCAGTTTTCCTAGGATCTTTTGTTTGTCTAGCGAGTCAATGGTGAACAATTTCTCTCTTTTGTGATGGAATATGACTTAGCTGCTTTCTTCATCTTCTGCTTGTAGAGAATATATTTCGGTGTTGACGGGTACAAATGAGTATACATTGACTAAAGAAGATGTTGGACGACGGTTGACATTTGTTTATGTACCTGTGAACTTTGAGGGTAAGTTTTCTTATCGTTCAAGCCATTTTAATTTTCTTCCTTAATCTGCTTTATGTTTGTTTTCCTGTAGCAATATATAATACACCCTGTGTTTTGACTATAGGGCAGGAAGGGAAATCTGTATCAGTGATGTCGCAGATGGTTAAGCAGGGTACATAACATCTTATTCTTTTACTAGTTTGCTACTATTTTGTGAAAATTGGCTGCAAATTTTCTGGCAACATAAAATGCTTTTTCTTCTGAGTAGATTTCTTTGTCCGCAAGTTACTTGGCTTAAGAAATGGCCACTATAATTGGGCATACCTGTGAATACTGATGTACTGTATTATTTCTCCAATTCGAATGGAGGAGCCTTTGCAGGAATTTGTTTAGACAATGAAAAGGACAAGCCTCTCAATCATATTATTCTCCTTAGCATTAAGGATCCTCTGGTCTATGACTTAGTGCTAGTTTATTTTAAAAATTAGGACTTAATTATGCTTATTTTGATAATCACTCCTGATAACTTTTTTGTTTTGTCATTAATTTGTCTCGAGTAAATTTGCATTTAGGACTGGATAATCTTGTTGCTGCTGCTTGATGTACCTTGTAAAATTGGCTGGACATGCTGTTGTTTTTTCTTCTAATTAAGTAGTGATCATAATATACTGAGATATGAATTGTGAGGTTCAATGGAACATGTGCACCATTTGCTAAATCTGGCTGCTGCTTTCACTTTTGAAGCTTCATCTACTTTATGTCCTTATTGTGGATTGCTTGGTGGCTTCACTAAGTTTATTGGTCGGGGTTGTCAATTAACTGGACTTTGTTCCATTTTCTTCATTTTCTTCATGTAACAGCTCCACCGAAGGTAACAAATTTAAAGATATTTGGTGAATTGAAGGAGGGAAGTAAGATTACCGTAACTGGTATTGTCACTGGAGGAACTGAAGCTTCTAGCAGAGTTCAGTGGTTCAAAACCTGTTTACCTACTTTTGAAGGTGAAAATGGTATTGAATCATTAAGTACATCCAAAATCGCCAAGGTAAGATCTGCTTCCAAACTCCAGATTGGACCTGCAAAATGGATGCATGATTTTAATTAGGCAACATGCTTTATGTAGGCATTTCGTATACCTTTGGGCGCAGTTGGCAATTATATAATTGCAAAATTTACACCAATGACTCCGGATGGTGAAGCTGGTGACCCAGCGTATGTAATTTCTGAAACAGCCATTGAAAGTGAGTATAATCTGTTTAAATGCTAGAATCTAATGATAATACTTTAAAGGAGTGTTCAGTTGCGCAAGCATTGCAGGTTTATTAAATGACTATTAGTGACTGCTGTTGTCTAAGATCTTTGGCAACTTGATTCTTGCTTTATTGTCATGCATATATTTTAGCTACTAGACTCCTGAATATTCAATGGTAAGAAATGTTTGGATGCAAACACTAACGTGCATTAATAACTCTTGCAGCTCTTCCTCCAAGTATTAACTTTTTGTCCATAACCGGAGACTACTGTGAAGGTGGAGTATTGACAGCATCATATGGTTATATTGGTGGTCATGAGGGGAAGAGTATCTATCAATGGTATTTTCATGAGGTATATTGTGCCTTCCTGTACGAATTTTAGATTCTGGAATTTTCTGAATCGCTTTGATTTGCTAACTTTGACATTACAACTTCGTACAGGTTGAAACCGAATCAGGTGCTCTGATACCCGAGGTTTCAGGTCTTCAATATCGGATCCCAAAGGATGCCATTGGTAGATTTATATCTTTTACATGTACCCCTGTGAGGGATGATGGTATAGTGGGTGAACCCAGAACTTGCATTGGACAAGAACGTGTTCGTCCAGGTTGCTAAACAGAGCAAGTTTGCTCTTGTTTTTCCATGATTTAAGAAAAAAATGAAGTTTTGTGTAATCCCCTATTTATTTATTCTTTTTTTCTGAATTTTTTTCTTTAGTGTTGATTATTTTTCTCCTTCATGTTCTGTAACATTAGGAAGCCCGAGAGTGCTCTCTTTACAACTTATTGGCACCACTGTTGAAGGCACTACCCTAAATGTTGAAAAGAAATATTGGGGTGGTGAAGAGGGAGAGTCGGTTTACCGCTGGTTCCGGGTATTTGATGAATATTATGTTTCATAGTTAATAATACGGTAAAAATAATCGAGATTTTCCATTGAGGCTGAAAGAAAGAACTGTTTGTTGCAGACTAGTTCAACTGGTGTTCACAACGAAATAAAAGGTGCAACTTCTTCATCGTATATGCTATCTGTTGATGATATAGGCTTCTTCATATCAGTTTCATGTGAGCCAATACGGAGTGACTGGGCTAGAGGCCCTATTGTCCTTTCTGAACAAGCTGGACCAATTGTGGCAGGTAAATTCTATAACCTATAACATGATAAATTCTTGATGGGGCTCCTGAATAGACACACCTAAGTATCAGATTGAAATGAAACCAAAACACCTTTCTTCTCGGATATACTTCGGATCAGTTGCTTTCCAATACGAAACCACATACATTTTCATTTTTCCCTGCGCCCCCCGAAGAATCGTTTTTTCGAAACACATTTACATGGTTCGAAAAATGAATGACTGAGCAAGCATACTCTTTCCAGGGCCCCCAGCATGCCAGTTGCTTGAATTCCAAGGATCCCTGGTTGAAGGCTCGCAACTCAGCTTCATTGCGTCTTATAGTGGAGGGTAAGCCTCCGCCGTTACTATTACTTCTTACCAGTGGTGTTCCCTTTGCATCCATCACAATGACGTTTTATTTTTATTCTTCTATTTTTTTCAGTGTGAAGGGGGACTGCTCATGTGAGTGGTTCAGAGTGAAGGGAGATGGTCATAAAGAGAAACTTCATGTAGGAGGTAAATATAGTTTTGTACATTCTGTTTACTTCAATTTATTTATAACATATGTTCTTTGTTTCAATGATCTGATAAATCAAATTTGGGTGTAGAATTTCTAGATTTGACACTTAATGAAGTGGGAGACCGCGTGGAAATTGTTTACACACCTGTCCGTGATGATGGCTTAAAGGGATCTCCTAAAACAATTGTTTCTTGTCCCATTGCTCCTGGTGAGTGTTTTTCAGTTTACTTTGATGCCTACTTCTGGAGTAATGTCATTTCTATTCCTCCTTTTGAAATCTAAGGAGCTTATTGGTTTTCATGTTGATAATTCTGGATTATTTAGCCTTCTGATCAAATTTATTTGAGCTTGCTCCCTCCTTATGGTATATGGTTACACATTCTTCAAATTGACTATTTCAAATCAAATGAATGCAGGCATATGAGTTCTGAATTATCATTAACCTGTTTTTCGATATTATTCTTTCAATACTATTGTTGTGCCCATTAGATTTCTAATTCTTATCACTTGTGCTGTTTGCTACTTTCAGAATGTTATGGTCCCAGTTCTAAAAATATAACACTGACTGAAATACAGGGGAACCATTAGGGGTTGAATTGGTAATCCCCAATTGTTGTGAGGGCCAGGAAGTGGTTCCTGAAACAAGATACTTTGGAGGACAAGAAGGACTCGGGAAGTACATTTGGTTCAGAACAAAGGATAAGCTCGATGAATCTTCCCTGAAGGAACTCCCGAATATCGAAAATGTCGATATATGCGGGGAGACATTGTAAGTATTTTATGAAATTTGATGTGCCAACTTACAGATCAGTGAAATTCTCTTACTTGAGCAATTACTTCTGCTCAGAGCGTACACTCCATCTCTTGAGGATGTGGGATCTTATCTAGTATTGTATTGGCTGCCAACACGGTCGGATGGCGAATGTGGCACACCTTTGGTATCAATTTGTAATTCTCCAGTTGTTCCAGGTAAAAAATCGTATTCTCCTGAGTATATTACATAAAAGGTGTTCCTGGCTAATAAATGTAACGAGTGCTTCTTGTAAGAGATTTTTCCCCTCATGGCTCTTCTTTGCCTCCACTATACTGGACATTAATGGACGTTGTAACATTCTGTAGTGATTACTATTCTTTCTTGACCCATTTGTCCTGTTATTATCTGTTTTCTAACTTACCTTCTTTCAGTCACCCATATATCTTTGCTCAATATTTAGAATACATGATGCTTTATTAATTATTAATCAATTGAAATAATTGTATGGATCAGCCCTTCCAATAGTGAAAAATGTTCGTATGCAAAAGTTATCTTCAACCACTTACCTTGGAGAAGGAGAATATTTTGGTGGGTATGAAGGAGCAAGCTCTTTCAGCTGGTATAGAGAATACGATGATGGAACAGTTCTTATCGGTGGAGCTATTTCCAAAACTTATGAGGTCTCGGAGGAAGATTATAATAGCAGATTGTTGTTTGGGTAATGAATCGTACTCTAAAATATTTAACCATAATCACCTGTGAAATCTGCTGCTTATTAACGATGGAAATATATATTGTGACATGAAAATACACGTCATTAACGGTGAAAATAATTGTCTCAAATCCATGCCTCGTCTTTGATTTTCCTTCTATTTTGCTCGGAAGTTATTTTTGTGAAATGTGTTCTAAATGTCATTTATTGGGTTCCTTTTTCAAGTTGTTTTCATATTGTAACAAATGACAGTTCTACAAAAGTGAGAAGTTTTAGCATTTATTGTTTTCTGGAAGAAAAGTCAATCTTAGGGCTTTGCATTTAAAAGTTTGACATCTTGAAGCCCCGTGAATAAATCTGTAATTTGGATACAGTATTGGCCTGGAAACATACTGTTTATAACTAATTTTGGCATACTCATTGAAAATCAAGGTTGGTGGACCTCACGTGAGATTCTATCTCATCCACAATCATATTCATATAATGCGCTTATTAATAAACCAGCTCTAGTTTGGATGCTGAGTTTATTCTTTTAAGTGTTTCATCCATCTTGCAGATTTACACCCGTTCGTTCAGATTCAGTCATTGGAGAACTAGTATTATCTGAGCCAAGTGATGTAGTTTTGCCAGGTCATCCTTCTAAACTTGCTGCTCCATAGTAGCCTTCAACCATTTTAGTGCCTTGTTCACTCCTTATATTAGTGCTTCTTGTGTCAGAGGTACCAAGAATTGAAATGCTAGCTCTTACTGGGAAAGCTGTTGAAGGCGAAGTATTGACTGCTGTAGAAGTTATCCCAAAGAGTGAACATCAGCAGCTTGTTTGGGGGAAGTACAAGAAAGAAGTGAGCTACCAATGGTATATCTCTTATTCTCCACAATTCGAATCTCCTGCTCTTGAATAATTGGTTGAAAGTTGGAGGTACCTTTTGACAAGTTTGTCACCTGTTCACTTAAGAAGAATCTGAATGAAACAATAAAGGATATGCTTATTGTACACATAAATGAAAATATGGAAAAACAGGAATGGATGGTGGGAGATGATACAACCTACTTAGTGGCATAATGGCTTGTTGTTTATTTATTTATTTATTATTTTTATTTTTCTCTTCCCAGTTTGTTGTGCAGTCATTTCCATTTTTCTGGTTGATATGTTTTCTTGTTTGAGTGCTGCCTCATATATGATGCCC